GTCGACAACTTCACTTTAAACAGCAATTAATTCAGGAGCTAATTACTGGAGGACACGAAAAAGAATTAAATAATTTAGGTGTTATACAAAGTTAACGATTACAGGAGGTTTAACTGTAAAGATCGTCATCATCGTTTCCTCCGACAGGAACTCCCGACGGCTGATTGGGCTGCTCCCCTGGGAATTTGAAGTTGTTCCCAAATCCTCTCTGTTGCTGCAGAGTTTGCGCGAACATCTCATACCTGAAGTTTGTTGATGAAAAAATGATCCATCATCCATTCATCAAAATTGGTGTTGTACTATAAGATCCAAGATTTTGGTCGTCACACTGAGCAGTACATAAAGTACGTACACGAGAAGATTTTTAATGTAAAAGAGGCATTAACCACAGCCTTGAGTGCTAATCGCTGATGTCGTTTTGAAGGTTGAAAAACCAAAAAAAAGGCTTCAGAAGACTTACTTTCTGATGTCATTATCAGATACGGATCTTCGAGCAAACTTCATGGCCTCCTCGAAATGTGCACGAGTGATTTCAGGCACTGGATCATAAGCCTCATCCTCCATGAGCTCCTCTCCGCGTGCACGTCGTTCCTGCCTATCTTTCTCAATCTTGATTTCCTTCTCAATCGACTCTCGGATGGCAAGTTTACACGCTCTGCAAGACAAGACATTAAACATAGCTCCACTACAATCAAACAAGCTTAGAAAAAAATAAAATTATTTCTGACTAAATTTAAACATGAGTGCAGTTGAATGTATAACAAAACGCAAATCAATACCAAAATACATACACGATATAAAATGCTATCAAATTTGGAAAACTACCTCACAAAATAACTCGACTAACGAACCTAAAGATAAGATATAAACACACCTTTGGCAGATTTCCGTAAGATCAGCACCAGAGAATCCCACAGTGCTCTTCGAAAGGAATGTCATGTCCACATCTTTAGCTACAGGAGTCTTTCGAAGATTAGCCTATAAAAAATCTAATTTATTTAATCTTCATCTAGCCACCAGCGGTCGTTCTTACCTTGAAGATCTGAAGGCGAGATGCTTCATCAGGAAGTGGGATGTAAATCAACTGATCAAGACGTCCTGGACGAAGAATAGCAGAATCAATGATGTCTGGTCTGCAAACAATATTATGGGCTAGATGTTTTTTGATTTCACGATAAATTAATGTAGTGCGTCTACCTGTTGGTGGCTCCGATAATGAATACATTCTTTTTCGAGTTCATACCATCCATTTCGGTAAGGATTTGATTAATTACACGATCAGCCGCGCCACCAGCATCACCCGCAGTTCCTTAAACGTCAAAATGATCTCGCGAACCAAAAGTGAACGCTATTACAACTTCAGATTACAATAGAAGTAATAAAAGTACCTCCACGAGCTTTTGCGATCGAGTCCAGTTCATCAAAGAATAGAACACAAGGTGCTGCAGCACGAGCCTTATCGAATACGTCACGCACATTAGCTTCAGATTCTCCAAACCACATGGTGAGAAGTTCAGGTCCCTAAAAATAATGAGAATACTGCTTAAGACTTCAAAAATCAAAAGAGATTTGAAAATGTTTCAAGTGAAAACAACTAACTTTGATTGAGATGAAGTTAGCTTGGCATTCATGGGCGATCGCTTTAGCCAGCAATGTTTTACC